ATACCTGTTTTAAGTATTAAACAGGTAATTAATTGGTAGAAAATTTGGGACAGAGACTACTAGTCAACACTGTACAAGAATGGGCTGCTATAATTAGCTGTATTGATTCCTGTCTCCCTTGCTATCCCACTTACTTTTACTCAAGATTTTAGTGTAGAAAAGAGAGAGGTAATGAATGGGAGTGACGTTTCAGTTGAATGTTATTAATGAAGAGTAGAAACACAAGAAAAAACACTTGCAGAAACTTTCAGAAGTGGAAAAGTAGGATTCACAGCCCTTGCTCACTCAGGATTCCTCTCCTGGACAGGATGACAGGCAAGGAGTCAGGACAGGACCCCAAAGAGTCATGTCCTAGTTCTGCTCCTTCCTATGAAGTTGGAGGACATGAGTGATGAAAAATACCTGTGGCAGGCAGGTACTCACTCCCTCACTCACTGATTCATCTGTCTATTTAACATATAATCACTGAGCACTTTTTGGTGCCAGGCATTGTACCAAGTACACCAAAGACATAGCTGCTGCCCTTTTGGGAATTCCATGAACATGATAAACAGAATAAGGAGCAATCAGATAATTTCCAAGGGGAATCTCTCTTGACTCGTACGTTGCCTCTCCCATCTCTTCCCAATTCTCCCACTCTGGTTCCAGTTCCCTGAAACAATGTCAGCTGCAGAGACCACAAAATCCCAGAAGCCCCTGATATCTTGTTACTGGAGCTCCCCAATGCCTGCCTTCTAGAAATTGATGTCCACTGGGCCAACATAGTCTTACCAATTGGATAGAGTTTCTTCCTCCCAACACTTGGTGACACTCATAGATTATATGTAAAAATAAGATCTGTTGGTGTTTTATGCTTAGAGTCCTCCCTATCCCATGTAATCAGGGTTGCGGTTAACCAGAGGGACAGACAGTGCTATACCATTAAAGGGAGAGTACATCCAATAACCTCAAATAAGGGTATTTTTGTACTAATGTCTTCTGGGCTCCCCATTTCTCCTGAATCAAATCCGAGATCCTCTGCATTTGTGGAAATGATACTCACTTATCTTGAGTTTGTCTGTGAGGCAGAGGACCCTAAGGAATAGTATGTAGTGCTCTGGAGAAACAGAGAAGATATTAGAAAGCTCATAAGGCATCTAGAATTACGGAAATACACAAATAGTTTGCTTAAAAAAATTTCTTTTTAAATATTATAACCCAAAGACTACCATCAGGTGATTGATTAGTCCTACCAAATGTTAAAAAGTTATATTACAAAGCTATAACAATTTAAATAGCGTGATACAGAAAGGTGAATTATCAGACGAAACAATAGAACAGAATGGAAAACCAAGAAATAGACCCAAATACATATGGAAATTAGATACAATAAAAAAAATTTCAAATCAGTGTTGAGGGAGATTAATTATTTAATAAAGTATTATAATACCTTGGTATCCGGTTGGGAAAAAGCAAATTTGATCCTTACCTTACTCTTTACACCAAAATTTCAAATAGATCAAAGATACAAATATAAAAAATAAAAATCATTAAAGTATTAAAAAGACCCACTGGACAGATTTTAAAATAATTTTAGAGTGGTAAGGCCCTTCTAATAATATAGGAAACCCAGAAATTAAAAAAAGAAAGGATAAAATAAAATCATCATAACAAAAACCACCATACACAGGCAAAACAAAAGAGAAACTGGGGTGGTGGTGGGAAATATTCATCACATATATTGAGACAAGAGTCTAATCCATTTAGTATATACCTGGACTAACTCACTTAACCTCACTGTTGCCTCAGTTTCCTTGTCTTTAAAATAGGGAAAATTATAGCGCCTACCTCATAGAGATGTTATGGGAATAAAGGGAGCTAATATATATAAAGCGCTTAAACAGGGCCTGGTACATAATAAACACTATATAAGCCTTGGCCGTTATTGTCATTTCTGACACTCCCCCTTGCCCCATACCCCAACTCGACCAATGTTTCCCATTGTTCTAGTGCCGTCTGCTCTGACTCTGAACCCTCAAGTGAGCTCTTCCCTCTGCTCAGAGCATTTTTTGCCTTTAGAGTGGCTTGCCCATTAACTCCTGACCTTCCCTCAGGCCTCAGCTCAAATGTTAATTCCTTAAAGAGAGCTTTCCTGACCTCCAGACCAGGAGAAGCCTCCTGCCATAAGCTTCCAAATATTTCTCTTTTTCCCTTCATAACCTTCATCACAATTTATTCACAGTGATTACTTGTTTAAGGTCTTCCCCGACAGGCCATAAGCTCTGAGAGGAGAGAGGTCATTTCTGCCTAGCTCCCTGCTGGACTTCAGCACGGTGCCTAGTACCCTGTAGGAGTACCATAAGTATTTGTCAAATGAGTGAGTGAATGAATAAGGAACCTTTTAATATATCTTTTAATAAAGGTATAAAACCTGTATAAAATAATTGGTACACAATAATGAGCATGTGACAAAATTAGATAACTTAATGTTACATAAGTAGAAACTTGTGTTGTGCTGCCTGGAAAATTACTGCTTGGCTATCCCCCATGGAAACATAGGCTATTGCCCATGGAAACATAGGCTATTGCCCATGAGAACATAGGCTATCACCCATGGGAATGTAACATTCTAACAATAAGCTTTCTGTTTCTGTATCCCCGCTTGCACAACCGACCTGTGGGTTGACAGGTAGTGAATAGGAGAAAAATAGACCTTTGCGTTTAAGACAGAATGAGGAATGGGATTTAGGGCTTAAAAACGCTGTACCTCTACATTTCAGGGCTGCTTAATTTGGAGTCTGCGTACCCCTGGCAGACCCAGCTGGCTGAATAAAGAGTATGTTTCCTATAACTCACTGATTTCTGGTGGTCCGTGTGTCTTTCGGGAGCTGGCAGCTACAACAGTGTGAAGGAAACCTTCTCCTCTCCAATCGATATAAAATATGAGTTCAAATTGATCTTGAACATGTGTCTTTCAATCAAATGGTAATGAATTACTCAGAAGAAAGTACCAGAAAATATTACTGTGTGCAGTCAGGAATTACACACAGATATCGGCTAGTTAAATATTTGTCTCTCACCTTCACTCCTTGGGAACCAGATATAAGCCTCAGATGGCAGAACTGAAAGGAATGACTGACCAGGGAATCTGCTTATTCCCAGAGAATTTTCACGGCCTTAATTCAAGATGGGATTAAATACTTTCATGAGTTGGCAAAACCAATTGTGCTGCTAATCTGAGAAATTCATTACTACCTTGGTAGTTAATATAACTAACCCAAGTTATCAAGAAAACTATAGTCTATGATCAATTAATAGTCAAACACCAGGAAAATTATGATAGTTATCATTTTAATTCAAAATAGACACAATAAAGTGATTCTCCTGGGAATGGCTTCCGTGACCTATGCTTCCGCTCCACTGGATGAAGGATTCCCTAAGGAGGAAGGATTCTCACCTGCCACTGCCTTACCAACTGTCAAACTCCAACCGCCCCTCTCTTGTGTAATGGGCCTTAAAACACTTCCCAGATGTCAATATTTGCTCTCCAGGAGAAACAATGTGGTAGCTGCCTAACCGTGATTGAGGAAAACTGAACTGGGGTCCGGAATTGGGCACCGGGAGACAGAGGTCTGGGGAAATTTCTGGAGAATCGCTGGTGACCAGAGGGCTGTGGGAGAGCTGGTTGCATGATCCCAAAGGCCCTAGACCCTATAGGTTGGGGATCTGTCGTGTACCCGGTGCTCAGTTCAACTTCTCTCGGCGTCTGAGAACAGTACGTTCTCGGCTTGTGGGCACGCACCAAGCTTTGGACTACATTTCCCAGACGAACTTGCTCCCCGGCGGTGCTGTCGTACTTTACTAGGGCGTGTCTGGGAAGGGAAGCCGCAGGCGGTGAGCACCTCTGGGGCATCTTCCTCCGGTGCTGCAGCATCGCAGCTGCCGCCCCGCAAGATGATCGGGGTCCTGCTCCTCTTCCTCCTCTTTCTCCTGTACATTGCTGCACCCCAAATCAGGTCTGTGCAAATGTAATGTCTTTTCTTGAGAAGTCTTCCGGTAAGGGGGCGGGGCGGGGCGGGGGGCTATTAATCCTCACTGAAGATCTGTTCTTCAAGAGAAGGAAAGTGAAAACTCCACTGGGGCTCCTAGTAGGTTGAGGCCGGGTTCGGTGTGTCGGAGGAGACCGGGCTGCCTTGGATGCGGGGAAGGCGACACCAGGAGACCCCAGGCGATGGGGAAGGGTTGCAGACTGGAGCACCCTGCTTGGTTTCCCTGGCCCCCTTTTTCGTCTAAGCAACCCTTGCTCTGGCTCCAGTGAGCCCCGAATATAAGGCTACCTTAAACATGTAAGTTTACAGCTTTGGGGATTTCAGAACCTAAAGTGAGGTATGGACCTGAAGACTGTTTTTTCCTTAGCTTCCACGCCTTCAACTAGCCTTAGCTAGCTTCTTGCTTCCAACCTTGAAAGTACAATAGAGCGATTCAACTTTTTGCTTTCTGAAACTGAACCCTGCTGGGAATCGTGACATATGCAGCCCCATTGCTTGCTCTCTGGGTACTATTAGATTCTCTCTTTCTCTGGGTGATGTTGTAAAGGAGGGAAATAAAAGGGTTTTATTATGAGCCTAATCCTGCCTTCCGAGCAGGAGCAGGATTATTGAGATCGGAGACTTGCCCTGAGATCTCAAGGTGGGGCAGAGAGGATGGGAGTAGTGGTCTCTTAATCAGGCCATGGCTGGTTGAGTCCCTCCAGAGAATCAGCAGCCAGATGCAAAACAGGCAGCCTGCTGATTGGTTCTGAGTAAATCACCAGTAGTGACGGTGGACCAGTGACTGAAGAGACACACACCCTCCTGAGGGGCGGAGTGTGGTGTCGTGTGTGTGTGTGTGTGTGTGTGTGTGTGTGTGTGTGAAAACAGGCAGCCTGCTGATTGGTTCTGAGTAAATCACCAGTAGTGACGGTGGACCAGTGACTGAAGAGACACACACCCTCCTGAGGGGCGGAGTGTGGTGTCGTGTGTGTGTGTGTGTGTGTGTGTGTGTGTGTGTGTGTGTGTGTGTGTGTGTAGTTTTTGCTGTTTGTTTTGTCCCAGGTTGACAAGCTTTCATAATTTAATTTTTTTTGGTATTGGATTAGCTTTTTATTAAGGTCACAAAGTGCCAGTTATAGACAGATTGACATAAATGGACCAGTTCTTCTTCTAGGCGGAGTCTTGTGACCCTAAGTTCATGGAAGAGCTCAAATCAAAGCCAGATGCTTGGTTAATAGAATATTCATCCAGTTCTTGTACTGCAGGGAGTAACTCTAAGCAATTATTATTGCCCTTATAATAGACTCACTTTTGTTCTTGAGCTAGAATGGAAAACTTTTTGTTTCCTTTTCTCCAACCTTCCTTAAACCTATAAAAGGACAGCAGTAGAAAGAACCAAAGCAAACCTTATCTTTGGGATTTGAAGACACGGGGGCGGGGAGCGGGGCAGGTAGTAATAGGAACCTCTGGCTGAGACAAGGAAAATGAAGAACTGATGAGCTGTCCTCTGTGTGCAGGCAAATGCTGTCCAGCGGGGTGTGTACATCAACCACCCAGCTTCCTGGGAAGGTAGCTGTGGTCACAGGTGCCAATTCAGGCATCGGGAAGGAGACGGCCAAAGAACTGGCTCAGAGAGGCAAGTTTATCTGCTTCTAATTCCCTCCTGCTACTGCCATTTTATCTCTCACAGTAATGGTCATTCTGATTATTTCCTCCCAATCTTGGAATTCAAGAACATTCCAAGTGCCCCAGCGATTTGCTGGTGTGAAGCTAGTACAACACTCTACATATAAATGGACACTTAATGACTACTATTGCTTTATTTTTCTTTCCTGATTTGCTCATCAGATACCTCTATTGGGAAGTAGGAGTAAAATAAACAAAATAGTAGAAAATAACATTCAGCATCAGTATGAAGTCTATAATGCCCACTCAAAAAAAAGAGCTGACAGTTTGTTTCTCATATGTTGGTTGACAGGAGCCCGCGTTTATATAGCTTGCCGGGATGTACAAAAGGGGGAATTGGTGGCCAAGGAGATCCAGACCATGACAGGGAACCAAGAGGTGTTGGTGCGGAAACTGGATTTGGCTGATACTAAATCTATTCGAACTTTTGCTAAGGACTTCTTAGCAGGTAAGTATAGAACCTGAGACTGTGTTGTGGGTCTTGTGATCAACATGGCAGACTTGGCTAAAAGGAAACTATTCCTCTCCCTCTCTATATATAGAAATACTAGATAAAATATAACCAAAAACTTTTGATTCATAGCTGAACTCATTAGTAACAAAGGGAAATCTTCAAGAAGAAGAAATAAAAAGTAAATTCAAAAAGATCACGGCTATGCATAAGAAGTAAAGCCAAAAATCTCACAGGAGTATCAGAACTCAATATGGATTTTAGACTCTAAAATGGGTATGAGGCCTCAGGCTCTCAAGGGCCTTCCCAGCTCTCAAGGGCCTGAGGCCTCATACCCATACTCTAAACGTTCCACATAAGGTTGGGATTCACAGAAGGCCATTTGGTCCATGGTACAGGAATTTTAAAAAGGCCAGGCCACCAGCTGAGGGACGTGACAAAGAAACTTATTATCTCTTTAGGACATGAATGGATAAAGAGTCATCTGTAAGAAATTAAAACCCCAGCTGGCATTATTTATGGGGAGGAATTCATTCACACCACCAAATAGTACAAGAATCTTGAGCTGAGAAATTAACATAAAACCCCATGGTATCACATGAAAAGCAAATCCAAGAGCACTCTGTAGGCATGTTCTTTCATAACCCGTGGACCTTGGCCTCCCAAGAAAAACACTGAAATTGGCTTATAGTCAGAAATTACTAGCTACATGAGAAAATGAACCACGAGAGAAAGTTTGCCGATGCAACAAAGATATAAAACCAGTATTTCTTTTGAGACCTGAATCCAGGTGGTAAGGGTACATACAGAACATCCTTTTTTTCTTGCTTCGGAATATTCCCATTCATCTTGGGAAGTCTATGTTGAGAGAGGCAGACGGAACATTTCCCAAAAGCAGTAAGTAAGATTAGAAAGGCCATTTTGTATTGTAAGATGGAATTTTCCTCCATGTGTGTTTGTGTGTGTGTGTTGTGTGGTTTAAAGTAAAAGAATGCAGGATCCAACTGCATCCTCATTTTCAAAGCCTGGTAGTTAGGCAGATTTCTACGATGTAACAGCTATGAGTGGCCACTCGCATACTCCATCTCCTCTTCCCTGCAGAGGAAAAGCACCTCCACATTTTGATCAACAATGCAGGAGTGATGATGTGTCCCTATTCCAAGACAGCAGACGGCTTTGAGATGCACATTGGAGTCAACCACTTGGGTAAGGAATCTAGTCTCATCACAAAGCTAGAGGGAATCTAAAGTTCTTGGAAAACTTAGGGGTCAGATTGAATTGCCTTCATGGTGTGATTGGATCTCTGGGCCATAAGAGACCATAAGTACATAATAAATAACATGGTCCTGCCTGAAAGCTCAGGGATAAACTTGAGGCCCACTCAAGGTTCTGCCCACTTTTTAATCTGTGGTTCATATTCAGTTTACTTTGGGGCATTTTGAACAGCCTAACTGTACTGGCGGTTGTGTCGCTTTCTTTGTAGTGGTCCTTGTAACCAGCATTAGGTAGAGCCCACCTGCTCTTAAAGAGTGATGTTAATCAAAGTCGAGACTTCATATTCATATTCAGATAATCCAGACCTACCTCATAGAAGGATGTCTCATGTCTTTGACTGTTCCTGTTTCCCTAAACCCTCACTGAACTTGTTCTGTAGTTGATAATTAATGAGACAAAAAGCCTTATTACTGAGTTTTCTGCTTCCCATAGGTGATACCTGCTCACCACTACTCTCTTCAGTCCTACATTGGCCCTGAACTCTGTTAATTCTAGTTTTTCTTATAGGTCACTTTCTCCTGACCCATCTGCTGCTAGAGAAGCTAAAGGAATCAGCCCCATCAAGGATAGTGAATGTGTCTTCCTTAGCACATCACCTGGGAAGGATTCATTTCCATGACCTTCAAGGCCAGAAATTCTACAGTGCAGGTCTGGCCTACTGTCATAGCAAGTTAGCCAACATTCTCTTCACCAGGGAACTGGCCCGGAGGCTAAAAGGTAGGCTTGGAAGAAATCAGTGTGGAGACATGAGTCAGGGGAAAGTAGTTAAAAGCCATAGGAATGGAAACTGTTTTCTGGAGCTTATTTCCTGGACAAGGACCTGCTTCCCTGACTGTAACTGGGTATAGTTTTAGTAAGCAGCCCACAATTGAATATTGGAGATAGTTGACAGGGGACAGGGAAATTCTGACTTTTAGTCTGAAGGCTTGGCTTTACCACTTATTAGCTGTGTGACCTGCAGCAAATTACTTAACTTTTCAAGACCTATTTCCTCATATGTAAATTTCCTCAAATGGGACTACTTCACAGGTTATTGTCATAATTAATTTAGGCTTCATGAGTAAGTCAAGGTTTTTTACTCCTAGTGAGACTGAGTAGAAGGGAGGAGCCTGAACTTGGCACGAGATAGGACCATTAGGATAAAACGAGTGCTGGGACTATGTGTGTGAGGGGGTGGGGAGAGGGGTCCTCTCTAACAGCAGAGGGTTAAGTAAGAGGGAGATGCATGCTTGAGGAGGGGAATCTCCAGTCACAAATAGACTTCTTTAGCATCATCTTCTCTGGATTTCCAGTAAAGACAAAGGAAACCCAGGGTGGACAATTGGAGTTGCTTAGGAGTTAAGGCAGGCAGAATCAGGCTCAAGGAATCAGACACAGGAGCCCCATTGTTGGAATAGGATCATCAAACCGTGTAGGCAGCTGTGAGATTGGCAGAAAGGAAGCTGGTGGGTCTGCTCAGTTCATATGCCCAATTTATACCCAGGACATGACATCATTTATCAGCTCAGGATCAAGGATCAGGATGGTAAAAACTATCCAAAAATTTGGTCAGGGAGGTAGGGTGGCCTGGAGGTAGAGAGATGGGCCTAGCTGTGAAGATCAGAATAAAGCAGAGGATACATGAGTGAGGAAGCCTGATGGAGTGAGGATTAGGTGGGAAATTGCTATGAAAGAAATGAAAGAAACCTGGGCATGATGGAAAAGTCATTCATACAGCCATTCAATAGACATGTATTCATAGTGCCCATGCTATTCAATGCACTGGATTAGGGGCTTGGGGATGGAGTGGTGGAAAAGACAGGTACAGTCCTTTCCTTGATTTGGTTTACAACCAGTGGGGAAAAGAGATAACGTCAGGTATTTATACAACTGTGTTACATGTAAGATCAGCCTAGTAATACATAAATCATTTTCATTGTAAAAAGTTCAAATAGTATGGAAGTATGTAGAGTTTAAAGATCCCCTCTCCCCCTCCTACTTTTCCCCTTTCAAGAAACAACTCGATGGGCATCTTTCCAATCATCTCCTTATGCATTTACATATGTGTATTTCATACATAAGGAACTGAAATTCCAATACAGTATCTTGGAGATATTTCCATGCAGTACATAGAGATTTACCCCATTCCATCTGTTGCTTGTACTGTGTTTCATAGTATAATGTGCCTTAGTTTATTTATCCTTAACATCTAGCTTATTTCCTTTTTGTTGTTTCATTATAATTGCGGTAAATGCTATAAAGGGGAAGTATAAGGACCTATTAACATATTTGGGGGGAATTTTAATATATTTGAGAGATCAGGGAAGACTTCTCTGAGGAAGTAAGTTACAAGCTGAGCCCCTTGCAGGACTATTAGAAATTAAATTAGTTATAGTGTGGGTGGGGTGAGGTGGCTGAGGAATGTTCCAGGTAGAGGGCAGAGAATACATGACGGTCTGGGCTTAATTTGAGAAACTGAGAGAAGGCCATCATGGTTAGAATATAGAATATAGAATATGGATCATCTAGAGTAGACTTTGAATTGAAAATAATACAAGTTCACAGTCCTTTATCTGTAATTTGTGAAATCCACAGAGTCCTGAAAACTCAGTTTTTTCATAAGCTTGACATCAAAACTCATTGGGCAGCAAAACCACATCTGTACTAGGGAGAATAGGTGATAGGCAGTATATGTATATGTATCATATTACCTTTGTAAAATCAGAAAAAAAAAATTGGAAACATTTCTGGCCCCAAGGTTTCCAGTGAAGAATAGGAGACCTGAATAGCGCATGCATAAGTGTCATTTAAATGAAGAAACTGAGTCACAACATCAGATTGTGCCCAAAGTCACACAAGTAGTGAGTGGTAGAGTTGGGTTTTGAAACTGGGCAGTGTTTATTCATGTCCCCTGTTCTTTTCAGTCACTGAGCAACATCAAGTCATGTCTTCCTCTCTCTATTTGGCACCCCACCCCCACCCCATTAGGCTCTGGCGTTACAGCATATTCTCTACACCCTGGCACAGTCAACTCTGAATTGGTTCGGCACTCATCTTTCATGAGATGCTTATGGCGGCTTTTCTTCTTCTTCATCAAGACTCCTCAGCAGGGAGCCCAGACCAGCCTGTACTGTGCCTTAACAGAAGGTCTTGAAAATCTAAGTGGGAATCATTTCAGGTATGAATGTATCTGTTTTTGAAGATGGAATTTTAAAAGGACATTGTTTATCAAAGCTTTTGTCTTTTGACTCCAGAGTTTTTACTTTTTATTGGAGGAATTTGACTCATTAACATTTTTTCACAGTAACTAGTAGGTTTGATTTTATTCATGCCATCTTTTATACTGATGACTGCTTTCTCCTTGTTTCTTTTCTTCCTACATTTTGTTTTGTCAGTCCAGTTGTTTTGTTCCCTTTTGTACTTCTAGTTTGTTTGTTTGTTTGTTTGTTTTTACACTAAAAAGAATTTGAATCTGTATTTCTCTATTGCTTTGAGGGCTAAAATAGTATTAATGGACTCCCTCTTGAATAAGGGAAGACTTTTAAAATTTTATTGTAGAAAATTTTGAATATACGCAGTAGACAGAATAACATGTTGAATCGACATATACTCATAATCCGGCCTCAACAAGCATTAACCCATGGACAATCCTGCCCCATCCTCATTTACTAACGCTTCCCATATTTTCACATCCTATAATATTTTGAAGAAAATCCTAGATATCACATAATATCAAAATCTTAATGTGTTTTTACCTCTACCCTTAAGATTTTATGGTGATCGTCTGAAATTTTAGAGAAAGGGCTATAAATAAAGATTGGAATGAAAGGTAGACAGTCATATCATGAGGGGCCTATGTCAGACTTAGAGAGGAGCCAGAGAAGTTGTTTGAGTAGAGGGAGATATAATCTGCATTGTGCTTTAGAAAAACATCCCTAGCGACTTTGTTTAATGAATAAGTACCCCATGTGACAGATGAAGAGTTCCTGATTTAGGGTAATGACAATTGGAATGAAAAGAATGGTCAAGTGAGAGAGGCCTTGAAGAGGCAGAATTTTAACCACTTGATGATCAATTGATTTGGTGATTTGAGTTCAATCTTGAGTTATTAGGAGATCGATAGTGACATTAACTGAGTCAGCAAACATGGAAAAATAATACGTCTAACTTAGGGTTCTTTAATCCCAAAGCAGTGGAAATAGACTCTGGCTGACATAAGCAAGAAGGGAATTTATTAAGATATGGGGGTACTCTTAGATCCCAAAGGGTAAACTGAAGAGCCAGGCATAGAACAATTAGGAGTGGCTAGTCAGCCAGACAGGGTGCTCTGACTGTTCTAAGCCTAGCTCTTCAGTCTTCTCTTTGGATCTACATAAACGCCAGCTATCTTCAGTCTGTTTCATTGCTCGCCATCCACTCTCTAGGGAAGTAGCATTGGATCTCCTCTGAACACTACCTGCCATCCCTTCACCCCCATTGCCTTGGCTAGGGGAGAACAGGCAGGCATGTGATTAATGGGCTCTTCAAATCATATCCAAGGGGAAGAGGTGATTCCACAGAAAGAAATCAGGTTGCTATTGCCAAAAGAAAGAGAGGATGTTCAACCAAAGAGTAACAATTGCCCACTGTGTAATAAACATGCCTCCCTACATGTTGGATGTGTTTTCCATAAGACATGTGAGTAGAAATGTGTAGCAAATAAGTTTGAAATATGGGTCTGAAGTGCAAGAACATAGATTATGTAGCTTTGCACACTGGAATGATTTTCCAAGAGTGACCAGATTCTTCTTCCCTGGTGATTTTAAGAAAAAAATAAACCTTTATCTTGGTTGTGACTGAGCGCTTTAAAGAAAGTCAGCCTCAAATCTATGATTATTGAATTGACTTTTGAAGAGTGTTTTCATTGCCGTAGATTTTTAATTTTAAGCTCTTCGAAGATCAAACAGCAGCCATTTGGCTACTATCAAGAAATGAACATAAAAGTGTCTCAAATGAAACTTTAGGACCTTTGCACTGGTTGTTCTTTCTGCCTGAAACCACTAATCTACTTTTTGTCTCTGTGGATTTGCCTATACTGGACATTTTATATAAGTGGAATCATGTAATATATGAATCTTTGGTGTGGTTACCATTGCGAATATGAAAAGGATAGTTATATATATACAGTCATCCATTTTCTTCTGTGTGTGCCTTATTTCCATTCTGCTCTGCGAATTTGGATTGTTGAATTCTCCCCTTTTAAGTCATTGTTAATCTCAATTTGTCTCTATGTATGCTGAACATTCATTACTATCTTGCTATAACAATTCTTTTCTTATTATTTAAGCTTATAATGCCCTGTTCTTAGTAAGGGTTGCATTCTTCTGCTTCTATTTACCTGATAGTCACTTTGCTCCTAATTATGTGGATTTTTTTGTGTGTGTGTCATTTTGTTTTAGGTGAGCTGACCCCTTTCAGTATTTCCTGTCTTGCAGGCCTTGTAGTGGAGAATTCCCTCAATTTTTGTATGTCTGTAAAGGTCTTAATTTCTCCTTCATATCTAAAGGAGAGCTTAGCTGGATACATTATTCTTGGCTGGTAGTTCCTTTCACTTAATAGTTTAAATATTTGATTCTATTCCTTTCTGGCTTGTTAGGTTTGCGCTGATAAGTCCGCACATAATCTAATGGGTTTTCCTTTATAAATTAGCATTTTCTTCTCCCTGGCTGCCCTGGGAATTCTGTCTTTGTCGTTGATTTTTGATACTTTTAATACAATGTGTCTTGGTGAAGGCCTTTTTGGGTGAGGTAATTGGGTGCTCTGTTGATTTATTGAATTCCAAGCTCCAGCTCATTCCTTAGATTTGGGAAATTCTTGTCAACTATTTGTCCAAAAATGCTTTCTAGTCCCTGCTCCTTTTCCTCGCCTTCGATAATGCCCATTATTCTTATGTTTCCTCTCCTGATGGTATCAGCTAGTTCTTGTATTTCTCTTTCATTATTTTTCATTCTTTGGTTTCTCTCTTCTTCTTTCTGATTTATTTCTAGATTTCTGTCTTTGATATCACTGATCCTTTCCTCCATTTGGTCAACTCTATTTCCCAAGCTTGCTATTTCATTTTTCAACTCCTGCAGTGTGTTTTTTATCTCCAGAAGTTCTACTTAGTTCTTTTTGAGGGTTTCAGTCTCCTTGCTCTGCTCATTTAGGTGTTTTTTCAATTCCTGAAATTGTTGATATGACTCATTTCGGAACTCACTGAGTTTTTTCAGAAGTACCATCCTGAATTCTCTGTCCTTTAAGTTGCATATTTCTATGTCTGGAGCTTTTTCTCTTTCTTTCAGAGTTGCCTTGTCACCTTGGTTGTTCATGGTGTTTAATGGACTGTTTCTCTGCCTGGGCACTAATGGAAATGTATTCTGCTTTTTTTCCAGAAAGAAGGTTTATTATATAAAGATCTCTCTTTAGCCTGCTGCAAAGAAGGCACTTTTCTTTTGGTTTCCAGTAGGTGGCATCTAAGCCTCTTGAATCCCTGCTTTATATAAAGCCTTAATAATGCCTTTATATAATGCTTTTATTTTCTTGTAGATATTTAATCACTCTTGCTACCCTCAGTTTCAGTCCCTGTTAGTGTTAGCAACAGTTTAGGTAGCGTTTGCTCAGATTCCCTTGGGGCTTTGTGGCGATCGGTCTCGGAGGGTATGGGGAGGGGAGTTGGGAGTTGGGGGCTGCGGCTCAGCCTCAATTTTGCAACTGGGGCCAGTAAAAATCAACTGTTGTTTCTCTGCGGTCCTGTCCCGCTTCTCTGCTTTCTGCCTTGGTGACTGGGCCCTGCCGCTGGCTGCGTGGAACTCACAGCACTTCCAGTGAAGTCGCTGCACCTTCTCCCCTCCCCCTCCTCCTACAGGGAGCTCTGGTGGCTGTGAGAAGCAGCTTCTTTATTTCTCTCAGTCCACTGCCCGACACCCAGAGTTCTGACTTATGGTAACTCTTATGCGTAGATCCCATGCTCAGACATGCTGGTGTGCAGTTTGGGTGTTTTTGTTGAGTTTTAGATGTTCAGCTTATTGTTGTTTCAAGGGGAGAGATATGGGGACGTCTATGAGAGATGTCCCCATATCCGCCATGTTTCCTTTCAATACTCGGATCTCTCTCTCTCTCTTTTTAAAATTTATTTATTTATTTTTTTGTGGTGACATTGGTTAACGAAATCCAACAAATTTCAGCTGTACATTTTAACAGTAAGGCATATATATACATATACATATATATATATATATATTTACATTGTGCGTTCACTTCCCATAATTAGATTTCTTTCTGTCACTACATATTTGACCCCTTCTACCTTGTCTATGTCCTCCCACCCCCTCTAAGAAATGTCTATTTAAATTCTTTGCCTCTTTTTATTTTTATTTATTTTTAAATTACTTTTTTATTTTTCAATTACAGTTGACATAAAAGATTATATTAGTTTCAGGTGTACAACACAGTGATTAGACATTTATATAACTTAAGAAGTGATCAGTCTATGGCCATGCCACCCTAAACGTGCCCGATCTTGTCTGATCTCAGAAGCTAGGCAGAGTCAGGCCTGGTTAGTACTTGGATGGGAGACCACCTAGGAATACAAGATGCTGTAGGCATTAAAAAAAGAAGTGATCATCCCAATAAATTTAGTACCCCTCTGACACTATACATAGTTATTACAATATTATTGACTATATTTCCTATGCTATACTTTGCATCCCTGTGACTATTTTTTAACGACCAATATGTACCTTAATCTTCTCCCCTTTTATTACTATTCTCCAACCCTCTCCCATCTGGCAACCATCAAAATGTTCTCTATGAGTTTGTTTCTGTTTTGTTTGTTCATTTATTTTGTTTATTAGAGTCCACATATAAGTGAAATCATATATTTGTCTTTCCATCTGACTTATTTCACTTAGCGTAATACCCTCTAGGTCCATACTTGTTATTGCAGATGGCAAGATTTCATTTTTTATGGTTGAGTAATATTCCATTGTACCACTTCTTTATCCATTCATTGATGGACACTTGGATTGCTTTCATATCTTGGCTATTGTAAATAATGCTGCAGTGAACATAGGGGTGCATATGTCTATTTGAATTAGTGTTTTGGATTTCTTTGGATAAATACCCAGAAGTGGAATTACCAGGTCCTTCTTTGTCTCTTGTTACAGGCTTTGTTTTAAAGTCTATTTTGTCTGGGATAAGTATTGCTACTCCAGCTGAGTTTTTTTGTTCCATTTTCATGAAATATCTTCTTCTATCTCTTTACTTTCAGTTCATGTATATCTTTTAATCTGAAGTGAGTCTCTTGTGGGCAGCATATGTAAAGGTCTTATTTTCTTATCCATTCAGCCACCCGATGTCTTTTGATTGGAGTGTTTAATACATTTACACTGAAAGTAATCGTTGATAGATATGTAGTTATTGCCATTTTGTTATTCATATTTTTGCTCTTTGTTTTTCTTCTTCTTAAAGAAGTCCCATTACTATTTCTTGTAATACTGGTTTGGTGGTGATGAACTCCTTTAGCTTTTTCTTGTCTGGGAAGTTCTTTATCTGTCCTTCAATTCTAAATGATAGCTTTGCTGGGTAGAGTAATCTTAGTTGTAGGTTCTTGCTTTTCATCACTTTGAATATTTCATACCAATCTTTTCTGGCCTGCAAAGTTTCTATTGAGAAATCAGTTGACAGAGTTATAGGAGCGCTCTTGTAGGTAACTAACTGCTTTCCTCTTGCTGCTTTTAAGATTCTCTCTTTGTCTTTAAGCTTTGACATTTTAATTATGATATGTCTTGGTTTCGGCCTCTTTGGGTTCATCTTGTGTGGGACTCTCTGCCTTCCTGGGCTTGTATGTATATTTCCTTCACCAGGTTAGGGAAGTTTTCTGTCATTTCTTCAAATAGGTTTCCAATTCCTTGTCTTCTCTCTCTTCTGGTACTCCTATGATGTGAATGTTGGTACACTTGATGTTGTCCCAGAGGTCTCTTAAACTATCCTCACATTTTTGGATTTTTTTTCCTTTTTGCTGTTCTGATTGGGTATTTCCTGCTACCTTATCTTCCAAATCACTGATTGTCTTCTGTTTCATTGAATCTACTATTGATTCCCTCTAATGTATTCTTCATTTCAATTATTGCATATTCATTTCTGACTGGTTCTTTTTTATGTTTTCTATCTCCATTTTTATGTTTCCTGTCTTTTTGTTGAAGTTCTCACTGAGATCATAGAGCATCCTTATAACCATCGTTTTGAACTCTGCCTGAGAATTAGCATTTCTAACAAGTTCCTAGATAATGCTTCTGCTGCTCGTCCACAGCTCACACTTTGAGTAGCACTGTCTAAATGGACGTAGTGTTAGGGGTTTGCTGCAAGTGGTTATTTCAGACTTGTCAGCTCACCTTTTCACCTTCAGAATTTGCTTCAAATGTCCAGGAAGCAGTTTTCTTGAAATAGTAGTTTTTAAAAATGCTTTTCACATAATTTCAAAGATTGTGATCTGTTTACTCAATCATTAAGAAAAACAAACAAACAAACAAAACCTTCAATGGATACCTGCTCTGTACCAGATACAGAAAATACAAAAATGAGTAAAAGAATTATCCTTGAGAAAATTTTCTGGGCAGTGCAGAGTTGGGGTAACCTCCGTGCACTTAATGGGGACTTAACATAATTAGAATTATAGCAATGAAGAGAAGGTATATGAAACACTGGGTACCTTCTTACCATTTCTTTTCCGCGATTATCTTTTCCTTCTTTGGTTACTTATGAAGCTGACTTGTTTTTCAAGTTTAAAACATTCATAACTTGTGGAAGACCAGCAATAAGAAGTGTTTTTTTGTTGTCGTTTTCATTTTTTACTACTCTAAACATCTGTGACCAATGTAGATAGCAGGATCTCAGTTTTATGACATTGTACAAAGTCCTGTAGAATGGACCTCAGAGATTTATTTGAACAAGATGGACATACACAGGTGTCAGGCGGGCACTGAAATTATAGTTAAATATATACATATAAAGAGGAATATAAAGACTAAATGATATGCATTTTATTAAACAAAGCATTCAGATCAGAAAATTACATTTTCTCTGGGGTGAATATTGGAGAGTGAAGAGCTAGGCCAAACACTGGATCTGTGAAGAGCCTAGAGGACATGTTATCTCTGGGTTGTTTTTTTGTCATATTCCTTATCCCAAGCAGAGAACAGACTCCATTCTTAACCCTGTTCTTTAAACCCCTCTTTCTTTTCCAGTGACTGCCATGTGACATGGGTGTCTGCCCAGGCTCGTAATGAGACGATAGCAAGGCGGCTATGGGATGTCAGCTGTGACCTGTTGGGCATCCCTATGGATTGACAGATGGTGGCAGCTGGACCCAAGAGCAGACTGCAGCAGACTACTCGGTACTTCCTCCCAAGTTGATTCTCCTTCAGGATGGCCAAAAGCTTGAGCACAAAGAGAGCAAACTTTCCAGCCTTGCCAGCTTAATAGCTGATAAAAGCCCAGCATACACTGCCAGATTCATCGAAACACCTTGCATTTGTCCAGATACACTTTGCTCCTCTTATTGCCAGTTACTGGAGATATCATATGATAAGTAGACTCTCATGTGGCCTGAAACCTACTACGTAGGAGAACCTAAGCTATGGCAGCGTTGATTTGTGGCAGTTTGGACTAGTTCCTCACAACCAACCAACCTTCACTTCAAGGGGGCCACACTGCAGCCTCAGTTGAACTCCAGAAGTCACAAAGCTTGGCTCGAGAGCAGGGCTTATGCCTTACCTCTTAAGAAAACCATCATGGCACCAACATCTGGATCATTTCAGGAAATTTAACTGAATCAGGATTGTGGTATGGCTTTATTTCTGACGACCGAAAGCCACTGTTAAGACACTTTCCCATGTCTAGACCATGGAAGAGCTTCCTTTTCTAAGAAGTTTGTGGGGTTTGGAGGTTGGCAGAAATTTGAGGGAAGGCAGAAATAAAAATTCAAATTTAAACTGTCATTTTCCTATTTCTCTGACGAGTAAGGAGGGAATGAAAGGCACAGTTTGAGAAGGTAGACCTCCTGACTTCAATTACTGACCCCAGATCCATGGAGGTCTCCTTTTGTGCCTTAGTTTTGCTTAGAAATTCAGAAGGGAAAGGCTGTTCGGAGATTGTTAGTATATGTGTTCTTATGTATTTATACAGTTAGGAGTTTTTTCACAAAATTAAAAATAGCCACAAAGGAACAGTATTAAACTGGACTTTGGTGCAGGTAAAAGATCAGAGATGGAGTAAACCAGTGTCATCTAGTCTTCGATACAAATGGGTAGAGCTGCAAGAGGAAGCAGACTCTGTGTATGTTGATAACTACCCACCAAGATGCACCTTGGGTAGCAGGAAAAACATTCAAAAAAAGAGAATAAGCCTGGAAGATAATGCATGCAATGAAGGGACTAGTTAAGGATTAAAAAACCAAGAAACAAAAACAGCTAAAGATGGCAATATCCAGCTAGCTATAGATTAAGGGTAAGCACCTGAGTTAGGTAGACTGATAAGGTACTATCTTCATATAAGTACCAGTCAACCAATGTGGCAGGGAAAAAAATCAAAACAAACAAACAAAAAGCCTCAATTTTTTCTTCTGCAAAATTATCTTAAGGACTGATATTGGTAGTTACAGTCAATTTAATTATCTTTTAGGGCATTTCTTTACATTATTTTGACAAGATTAAAATGTCTACTTGCTAAAAAAAAAATCTACATTTGAAGAACTTTTATCAACATTAATGCTGCCAAAGGATGTCTGAGGAACTGTTAATGTTTCTATCACTTGTTTAGAGTATGTTATTCTAATAGTTTTTAGTTTTCTTGGACTTTGGTGAGGAAGGAGTTATGGGACCACAGTCTTCTTCTATTTGTAAATAATCTTGTGTTAACTTGTCTTGACCATTAAACTACATATTTAGAAATGGCCATTTTATGGAAAAATTGAAAAAATTTTTATAATAGTACAGTAGAATAAGTGAATTAATTTTACTTAATTTATATTGAACCATCAATGACAAATTTTTTTTATTATCATGTTTTTATTTACAACACTAAAAATTAAAGTTTAGAGTCAACAGAAAATGTTTAGTCAAAAGAAGAAAACACTTCATTATTATGGTTATGCAAATCATTTCTCATTTTGAGGATAATTTGTCCCAGAATCTAGCCACTGTAGTCTCAATTGAAATGCCATTAACTTCAAATGTGTGATAATATGATTATTCATCCACCTATTTTCTACTTTTCTTTTATGATGCTGTTCAAATATCACTTCTTCCATCCCAGGGTATTTCTCTCTCTCCTTTTTGTGACTGCTCTTTCTTTAACAAAGCTATGGGACTTCACAGTACATTCTCACACTGTCACAGACATTCTCAGATTTTGCTATCTTTTTATGCTTAATGAATATTAGCTCACCAAAAGTTTGTTTAATCAATGGTCAATGAACTCAATCTAATATAATGAAAAAGGTCCAGGAGATATAAATCATTAAATCGTTTCCTCCTGAGCAGTAATGTATCTCTTAATACGTGTGGGCAATTTTAGTATTGAGCTGACAAGCAAATATTTCAGGACGGGCTCCATAGGCCTAACCATGAAATCTGTGAAAATAGGAATTTCTTCCATTGAACTATGAAAACCCATGGAGTGCAGGAAAAGACTTCATACTTGTTAACACGTTACACTTAGTGAGACTTGAAGCCGAGACCTTGTTGCTCACCACATTATAAATTACCTCAGTAGAGAAAGGCAATCTTTTATTTACCAACATATGCCCAGATCCCCTGCACAGAGACGACGCTTAACATTAAACACCTGCTGAGTGAACGAACGCACTAAGGCCAACCCGGCCGCTAGAGGCTGCGTATTTTAGGGATCACACTGCCCAGAGACCACTTCTGAAAGAATGTGACCCTGGTCACTTGGCCTCCCCAGAAAAAGTGCTTTACCGCTCCAGAGCAAGGAGGAACCTAGCCCGGCTACCTTTCGAGGGTTGAAAGCTAACATTTAGTCAAGACGTGAACTGAGAAACGGTGGCCAAACAGTACGATGACAGTGAGGGTTACGTCCAAACCACTGCGTGTTAGCTTCACCTTAGGCAGCCACGGTGCTGGCTGGGCCACCGCCCCGCTGCGACGCGTGACCTCCGAGTCGGAGCTCTTTCCGCATCAAACTACAGTTCCCGGCACGCACTGCAGCGTACGCCGTACGCCGGAAGGCGGGGCCCTGGAGAGAGGTGGCCGCGCTGCCCGTCCCGCGGGTCCGCGCAGTCCTTTCCGTTTTGGCGTTCTCCCCAACACTGGAGCGGGTATTTCCGGGACTCCGGGGCTGCCGCTTACTCCGGCGCGCCGCCACTCTCATAGGAGTCGCCCGGGCGGCAGAGGCCATCCGACTTTCCATCAGGCTTTCGCGCTCGGCGATCCCTCAGTGACGGAATGAAGGGAGTGGCGTTCTTGCTCGGAAGGACCCCGCCGCGGCCCCGGAAGCGTCTCGTCCAAGGCGGCGGTAGTGGTGGTCGCCGTGATGCCTGCGGGGCTAGGCGGCTGACCGCCGGGCTAGGAGCGGGCCCTCGCACCGAATCTCGGCGGCCAGTACTCGAGCGTGGCCTGCGCCATGGCTACCTCCGCCGCCTCCTCTGAGCATTTCGAGAAACTACATGAGATCTTCCGCGGCCTCCATGAAGACCTACGACGGGTGCCGGAGCGGCTCCTGGGGGCTGCAGGAACAGGTGAGGCGGCGGCGGGTGGAGCCGCGGGGAACTCGGTCGCACGCATTCTGGAAAGAAAAGTCTCCACCCTCCTCCCAGACCCAGGCCCTCTTCTTTCTGCTCCTCATCCTCAAACACGCCCCCTAGAGCCAGCTGGGTCCCGGCGCCTGGAGCTCCCTGCTTCCACCTTGGGTGCTTAGTTAGGGGTGGGTCTTGGGAGTGTCATTCTTGATTTTCCTGTAGCCTTCAAAATTTTCTCATTTACACTTTGGCAGAAAGAGCATAGGAGACTTTAAATCTGCGGTTCTGTATTTCAGTAGAATTGGTTGCTTTTGTAGCTGTCTTTATTTTGTTTTATGCGTTTAAAAAGTTATTCTCAAGAGAGGGCCATAGTTTTCACCAGACTCAGGATCCGTAGCACCAAAAAGGTTAAGAATCCAAAGGAATCGTGACTGTTGGGGTTGGTAAATATCAGTTTGGGGCGATTGGTCATTAAAATCGGGATGGTGTCGTTTAGGTGTGGTCCTCTTAGGGATTTTCTGCTTGGACTATTTCCTGCCTCTTGATTGCAAACTTCAGGTTGCTGCTGGCTTTGAAGGAACTAGAGCTGTCCAATTAAATCTGTAGGAAGCATAGTTTTTTGCCTCAGAATGAACTTGATCCTGATGGTAAGGCGGATAAGACTGTGTTTTATTGTTTTCTCTTAAGGGTCAAAGCTCAAGTTTTAGTTACCCAAGGTCATATGAATTGAATGACTGGAGAGAATGAAATAAATACGTTTGTTTAACATGTATTTAGTGGGAGAGGTTCCTATGTGCCAGTCAGTGCCCTAGATGCTGTTAATATTGCAAATTACGGTAAAAAGATTTACAAATTCCCATTTTAGTGAACTGATGATAATATATAAATATTAAGAGGTAGTGTTAAGGATAACACAGGCATATCTGGTCTTATTGCGCTTTGCTTTATTGTGCTTCACAGATGTTGCGTTTTTTTACAAATTGAAGGCAAGACCCTCCACCTGCAAAAAGATTACAACTCACTTTATTGTGATACTCGCTTTATTGCGGTGGTCTGGAACCCGATCTGCAATATCTCCAAGGTATGCCTGTATAGAGAGATAAAGCAGAGCAAAGGAATTGAGGGGGGTGGCACTCTATTTTCAAATTGGATGGCATGAAAGACTTCTTTGAAGAGATGTCATTTGAACAAAGACTTGAATGGGTAAGGGGGTGAACCATGCAAAAAACTGGGAAAAATGAGTTTCAGGAGGACAGAATAGCACTACAAAGTCCATTAAGCAGAAATGAGCTTGGCATGTTCTAGGAAGAGCAAGAAGGCCAGTGTGTTTGGGGTGGAATGAGCAAAGGAGGTAGTAGTAATAGATGACGCTAGAAAGCGGTAGGCGGATCATGTGTGGCCTTGTAGACCATAGTGAAAGATTTGCATCTTTTTCTGAATGTGAGGGGATGCAGTTAAAGGGTATTGAGCCAGGACAGTGATGGATCTGATTTACATGGTTGAAAAATACTTTTCTTTCAGTCTGATGCTGAATTAAATTTTGCAGTGTCCATTTCTATAAGGCTAAATAATGTATTCTGTATGAAAAATAGAAAACTTAGTTATATTAACCTTTGTCATCTACATAATTTTTTTTTCATTTCTGTGAAGAGGTCAGTCAGAATGGTGTGAATTTCTACCCAAGCACAAATGCAACAGTCCAAAAGTTTGTATGGAACCACAAAAGATATTGATTTGCCAAAGAAATTTTGAGGAAAATGAACAAAACTAGAGAATCACGCTTCCTGACTTCAAACTATATTACAAAACTATTATAATCAAACTAGTATGGTACTAGCATAAAAGCAGACACAGAGATCAATGGAACAGAACAGAGAGCCCAGAAATAAACCCTCACATATATGGTCAATTAATTTATGACGAAAGAACCAAGGATATATAAAGAGGAAATGTACATATAAGGAAAACCCATTTTTTTCCCCTCTTAAGTTTTTCTTTCCTGTATAAGGAGAAACCCAGTCCTTCCTCCTGTGTGTTTCTTTTCTGTGTGTGTCCTTTAGTACTCACACAGAACACTTCACTTCTGGTCACCAAATACCAAATGTGCGATGAGAGTGGGCATCCATATCTTGTTCTGATCTTGCTCCTGAAAACTTTTCACTGTTGAGTTTGATGTTAACTATGGGCTTGTCGTATATGGCCTTTATTATGTTGAGATACATTCCATGTATATCCACTTTATTAAAAGTTTTTATCATAAATGAATGTTGAATTGTCAAATGCTTTGTCGATTGAGATGATCATGTGATTTTTATCCTTCATTTTGTTAATGTGTATCACGTTGATTGATTTGCAGATGTCAAACCATCCTTGCATCCCTGGAATAAATCCCACTTGATCAGGGTGTGTGATTCTTTTAATGTATTGTTGATTTCAGTTGGCTAATATTTCGTTGAGGATTTTCGCATCTGTGTTCATCAGGGATATTGGCCTGTAATTTCCTTCTCTGTGTCCTTGTCTGGTTTTGGTATCTGTATAATGCTGACCTCATAAACGTTTGGAAGTGTTCCCTCTTCTGTCGTTAACTCTATATTTCGTTCCCTCTGTCGTTCCCTCTTCTGTCGTTAACTCTATAAACGTTTGGAAGTGTTCCCTCTTCTGTCATTAACTCTATATTTGGTATCTGTATAATGCTCACCTCATAAACATTTGGAAGTGTTCCCTCTTCTGTCGTTAACTCTATATTTCGTCTGTTTATTATGTATCCTAAGCACCGAGAATGATGCCTATCCTAATACATTCTAGGTGCTTCATAAATATTTGCTGAATGATTGTATAACTACTCTGGATTGTTGGGGAAAGTATATGATTGGGTGTTGAAAGGAGTGTGATTTTATTTCTATTATACACTGTTTTTCATATTTTCATCACTTTTAAAATGAAGCCAGGGAAGCAGATACTTAAAGGTTCAAAAGAGGCTGAACCTTTATCCATCTGAGAGGTATCAGTAGCTGCTTCTTTATATTTTAGTCCCAGAATCGTCAAACCAATGATGTTAGAGCTGAGAGAGTATAGAGAGTATATTTTAATACATCTATTAAAAAAAAGGATAGCTAACAATGTGTTCTATTATAGAAAGTTTGTTTGGCATTCATAATCTGTTAGCATATGTGATAATTATTAATCCATTTAATATGATATGAAGCACTTACAGCCATAATTTCTAGTCTTAGTTTTGTAGCATCTGAAAAGATACCTCTCTAAATACCTCAAATTGTTGTAAATTCTTATCCAAGTAACAGAGTAAGTGCCTATAGATATAATTTTTAGTTTTGGTTTTGTAGCACCTGAAGGCATCTCTCCATATGTCTTAATGAGTGTAAAATTGTCAAAAATTTTCCATTTAATTTACTTAAATTTTGGTATCTATACATGAGAACTTATCTTGGGAACCAGGAAAAAAACACTATGGAGGACTCTTTGCAGAAGATTGGTAAATACCAATTACTCAATGACTGGAATTTAATTTTTCCAACACTATATTCATTGGTGAATTTTATTTTTGCTTTTAGTTTATCCTACCTAAGAATTTGTTTAAAAAATAATAGTAGTTACTATTTATTGAACCCTTGATGTACCTAGCATCTGCCAAGTGCTTCTTATATGTATTATCTCTTTTACCCTTTCAAATGACCCTATGAGGTCAGTTGTTATAGTTCCTATTTACAGATGAGGAAACAGGTTTAGAGGACTCTAATGCTTTTACCTCCTATGTGGTTGGTGTGAAATCAGGTAAAACTATTGTGGTCTACATATAGAGGATGTAGATCCTAGAAATGCCACGGTGGAGTGCCAAAAGCAAACTGGCCACGTATTTTAAAGATCCTAGTGAAACCGAAATTATTTCCACAGCTCTTAGGGGCCAAGGTTAGTCATTCTTGAGTTGGTAATTCAAACCTCCTGTAAGGAAGAGAAACTGACACCTCGTTGATCGTTAATGAAGGTTTCCTCTGGCTCTGTCTTTCAGAGCTGACTTTCTGCTTCTATTTTATTCATGTCCAGGGTGTGGTGCTGCCATCCACTCAGTTTACCAAACAGTCAGTCTCAGAATGAGTCACTTACATGTGACTGGTTTGGGAAGGAGTGTGGGTGGTAGATAGTGTTGTTTGGAGTGGCTCACTCTTGTTTATGATGCCCATTCCACCCAGTATGCAGACCAGCTTTTTTGTAGTTGATTATAGTGTTAATTCTAATTTAAAAATTAAAAGGTCTGAACAGATCTTACCTGTTGCTAAAGGCTCTACCCTGGGAGCACAGAAATGCTCCTTAGAGCTATAATGTACAGAAACGTTGGATTGGGAGTCAAACTTGCATTCTAGAACTAGTGTCGCCTTACCTTTACTCCTCTTATGATCTTGGTGAAGGCAGTTTTTCCAGTCTCTAATTTTATCAACTGTAAAATGAGGTTAGACTGGATGATCTCTGAGGTCTCTCTCAGCTCTAACATCATTGGTTTGACGATTCTGGGACTAAAATATAAAGAAGCAGCTACTGATACCTCTCAGATGGATAAAGGTTCAGCCTCTTTTGAACCTTTAAGTATCTGCTTCCCTGGCTTCATTATTAGAGGGGATGACTAGAGCGGCTTTTTTTTTTAATGTTAAGTTACATAAAGGATCTCTTAATGCGGTGAGGTTCTTCAAATTGTTTTCAAAGGGAGTGTATTTCTTTTTAAAGTATGTAAGCTATAGAACACTCCTAGGAGAATGTATGTCTTATGAATTCATGTAGAATGGAGTATTCCAACTCCAGAACGACTGAGAATAACAGAATCACGCAGAGAAGTTAGTGAAAGGGTCAAGATTCTGTGGGCTACCTCTTTTCTCCCTACTCTTATTTTTATGTGGCCACTTTCTTTGAATCATTCTAGAATTTGCCTCTTAAGAATGCAGATTTTCATATTTTTTAACAAAGGAAGAATATAGGAGGAGATTTTGTGACTACCAGAATTGTAGAAAAATGTGAGCTAGGAAGGGAACATACTTATATATAAACAGACTACTTCATACTGTCTGGCTTGGATTAGGAGTAAGTGTGCTTGAGTTTGGAGATGGACCTGTACAGAAGAGTGATGACACTCAGCACTTTGTGTGACAGCTTGTTGCAGAATAATATGATACCTCTCCATGGAAGTAGCCATTCTTGATTGCAGATATTATTTCACTGCTGGTGGCTGAAAACACAGCCCACTCAGGCATAGTAATAGCTGCTTTGGTGCCTGTTTCAGTTACATCAGGGTGGTCAAGATGCAGACCATTTGCCATGGCTTAACTTTTTCTTTTTTTAAACAACAAACCCTGGGTTTTGTGGGCAGTGTGGAGTGAAAAATAGTTCACCTGGAGTGCTTTGTATATATTAAGGAAATAGCACATAACAATGAATGAGGCATAGTAAAGGTGCATTGTCAGGTTTAAAGTTCTAGAAGCTATGGGACCTATGAAAGAAAAAAGTAAATTTTCTTCTTCTGGAGGAGCTTGATCTCAAGTTGAGAATATAGAATGTACACACCCCAAATGATTTATAATCACTTAAAAACAGCAGACAACTGATATACTAGATACTATTGTGATTGACATAATGTAAGTTCATGTAAAGACACAGTATTGCATCTTATTTGGATGGAATTGGATTCAAAAGTCAAAACTTAAGGTTAAAATCAGGTTAAACAAAATTATCCAAGAAAATTTTGGGACAGCATATTGACTACCCACATGCCATCCCTCCATAAGCCCCACTCAGCTGTTTACTTTGGCATTGGAAAAGATTGCTCTTTCTTCAGCTGATGGAAATGCTGATTTGTATTTAGGAGTCATATTGACTGAAAAAACATAGCTTTAAAAGACTGTGTCCCCAACTGTGCTACAACATAATTGAACCTTGAAGACTATCCTAAGTGAAATAAGCCAGACACGAAAGGACAAAGACTGTATGATTATTCCTCTTGTATGAGGTGTCTGGAGTAGTCAGATTCATAGACACAGAAAGTAGAATGGTAGTTACCAGAGTTGGGAAAAGGCAGATGGGGAGTTAGTGTTAATGAATACAGAGTTTCGGTTTGGGATGATGCAAAGGTTCTGGAGATGGATGGTGGTAATTGTTGTACAACAATGTGAATATACTTGATGCCATTCAACTATACACTTAAAAATGGTAAAAATGGTAAATTTTATGTTACACATATATTTTTTACCACAATTTTAAAAAGGCTGTATCCCTAGATTGTGAAGGTAATTTCAAAAGATGAGTTCAAAAAATATTTTAAGCAATGGTAACTGTGGTAATAGATTATGTGTAGATTTCCAGGGTGAACATTCATTTGAATGTATACATTTTTTAAAATGAAGCTCCTCATAAAAAGGACTCGTTAGATATGAAGGGATTACCTACCTCCTCATTTTATAGCCAAGGAAGGAGGTCAGATCCCAAAAAGCTGAAGAGAATTATTTAGGCTTACACATTGGGTCAAGCCCAAAGCTAGGACGAGAACTTAACTCCCTTTACTCACCAGTAGTTCTACCCTGTTCAGGTGTTTACCAAGTGATGGCATGCCAGTACTCCTTTCATCATTTTTGACATGTCCAAGTACCATGTTTACTATTTCGTTCTTTATATCAATTTAGTTCATGTGAAACATATTTATGTAATACATGAAGTTATTTAAAAGAAATTTTGTAACACTACTTTAAATGGCAAAAATCGGCAGAACCTATCTAAATGATCAGGAAAAATACAAGAAAGACAAAACAATGGTGTTTTAGTTAGATGTTAATTGTTTTGATGCTAAAGCCTCTTCTATTTTTGTTAAAAGGAGAAAGTAGTAATTTTTAGGTATTAAATACTTACTAGCACCAAAATGACATGATGCAAAGGATTGAAAGACAGTTGAAAGGGGAATGATTTTCTTACTGCTTGAGTCAGTGGCGTTTATATTGTTTCCCATACCATTGCCAGTAGGTATGGCCAAAAAACGTGCCATCCCATGCAGCCTCTCCAGCAAACAGAATAGATGAGTTTTGAATTTTTTTTGGCAGAAAAGCAGTAGATACGGGTTAAAAAGAGAAGTGATTCAGAGTGTGGTTGAAAGTGGGGACAGGAATTTCAGAGAACAAATATTGTTAAACATTCTTTTTTATAAAATTTATTTAAATTAGTTTCAAGTATACAGTACATTGGTTAGACATCTATATAGTTCATCAAACGATCCCAATTGCTCCCTCCCTCAGCCCTCCACCTAGCCATCATATTAATGCTAACTGCATTCCCTCTGCCGTGCTCCCCATCCCCATGCCTAACTATCAGCTAGTAATTTGTACTCCTTTAATCCTTCACTCCATTCTCTCAGCCCCGCAACGCCCCTTCCCTTTGTCACCAAATTGTCTACTATGTTTGTGAGTAATCTGTTTTCGATTAGTTTGTTCTTTTTGTTGCTTAGATCCCGCATATAAGTGAAATCATATGGTATTTATCTTTCTCTGACCTATTTAAGTCAGCATAATAACCTCTAGGTCCATCCATGTCGTTGCAAGTGATAGAATTTCATTTTTTTTAATGGCTGAGTAATATTCCATTGTACATGTGAACTATAATTTCTTTATCCAGTTGTCTGTTGATGAACATTTAGGTTGCTTCCATATCTTGGCTATTGTAAATTGTGCTGCCATGAATTTTGAAGTACATAGATCTTTACGAATTATTTTAGTTTTCTTTGGATAAATACCTAGAAGTGCAATTGCTGAGTCAAAAGGTGTATTATCCATTTTTGATTTTTCAAGAAACCTCCATACTGTTTTCTAGTTAAACATTCGTATGGATGAAAGTGTGCCTAGTTAGGATTGGGGGAAAAAAGATTGACAGTGATTAATTTAGACCTGTAGTGTTTCTTAGCAGGGACACTATTGGCCTTTGGGGCCAGGTAATTGTTGTGCAGGACTGTCCCAAGCATGCATATTCTTGTTCCCTGGACACTAAATGCCAATAGTAATACCCTCCCTCTCCCCTTTCCCCAGTCATTGTGGTAACAAGCTCCCATACATGTCTCAATGCCTTTTAAGAGTGATTAAGTACTACTGTCCCCAACAGGGGAGGAATGGGGTTTTATTCTAAGCAGAGGGATGGCCTCTACAGAAGCAAGACTGAGCGTTTGAAACTTGTCTTATTTTTCCAGAAGAGAAGAAGAAGTTGATCAGAGATTTTGATGAAAAGCAACAGGAAGCAAATGAAACGGTGAGAACAGGGAGCAAGTCCTTACTTCTTCTACCTAGTGTTCATCTTTTCCAGTGCTAATGACCTGATCACAGATTAACTCTTCCCACCTATTGATTCTGATTTTGATTATTTCTTACTAAATGAGGCCAGTTAATGGGAATGAGTTAACAAAAACAAATGGGTAAAGTTCGAAGACTCTCCTGAAATGAAGCTTTGATAATACTAATACATTCCTGATGTGATTCATAAGGGCATTCTCATACATTTACCTGGCTGGTCTTTTAAAATCTCATTTTAAAAGCTGGCCATTAAGATCAGTTCTTTGTTAAACTGTCACAGAAAATGTAGCTCGGAGGTGGTTCCAGCTACATTCTCTTCTGTTTTAAAAGACAGCATAGTGCCTGGATTCGGTACCTTGGACGAGATGTGCATGGATGGGATGAGTTCCTAATCAGGACCTAATGATGTCAGAAGTTGGTCCAGGTTGCTAAGCAGTCTTAACAACTGCTTCTCTCTTAATCTTGCCTTTAAGAAAAGAAACCTTGCTCTCACCTATTAGGAGAGTCTTCCTGTCTCCACTATGCTCTAGCTTCAGCAAACTCTTTCGGGAGCGTGGGGCTAAAATCCAGGTCCCTAGTAGAATTCTGTAGAAATAGTTGCCCCTAGTCTTTGCTACCCCAGAGTAGACTGAGGAGGAGAAAAATTCTTTTTAAACTAGAGAATGTCCTTCTTGTTGAAGAACAACTTCCCTATCCTAATGAAGTTTGAGAAGTTAAGCTTATCTGCTTCCTTTTCTCAGTTGTACATCTATTTTAAGAAGGATTGGGCCACCAGACTGTAGAAACTTTCTCCTTCATGATGAGAGTACTGTTATTTTCTTAATACTTGTGTACAGCTGGACAGATCTATGATACTTGTTACAGAGCCAGTCTTTTTTGGTTAACATTTTAATAGCATTTAAAAAATCTTTTAGCTAATACCAATTTAATTTTTGGTGCTTACTGTCTTTCTCTGAACTTAGCAAAATGAACCAATCCTACTCTGGCCATCTCAGGCAGATGAAAATTATTTATGGCCTCTTGTGAACATGTCTAGGTGTTATATTTCACTTATCCCAGAAAAATGGAAATCCGACGTGGGCCTGCGGTAATCTCCCACATGGAGATAGTTAGTTTTCAGAAAGAGGAGGAGGAAGGGAAGAACCTTGATGCCAGACCCCCTATCATTTTTGATACAAAATGCCTCAAAGTGCTTCATGACAGCACTTGAAACATAACGGGGTAAGAACTTGGTATACTGAAAAGAATTTGAGGATTCCAAATCCTGACTTTTTTCGTTGTGTAAATTTGAACAGGTTTCTTCAAGTCTTATATGTGAAGTAAAATAGTATTTTCTACTTTATTGATTTGTTGTGAAAATTAAATGAGAATGTATATAAAAATGTATAATAAGCTGTAAGGTGCTTATTTCTTTTTTACTAATTCAACATATACTTTTCAAATGCCTGTTCTATGCTTGATAGGTGCTGTGCAGACACTCAGAATAATGAAGTGAACCTGTTAAATGTGGCCCCTTGTCCTTGTGGAGCATATGGTCTCATGAGAACTGATTTGGGATATCTGTGGTTTGATGAGTCCAAACTAGGCATATACCCAGATGAGACAGAAAAGAATCAGTCTGTCCACTCACTATTTTTTGTCTTCCTAGCTGTCAGAGATGGAAGAGGAACTACGCTATGCACCCCTATCTTTCCGTAACCCTATGACGTCTAAGATTCGAACCTATCGGAGGGACCTTGCCAAACTCCACCGGGAAGTGAGAAGCACACCTTTGACAGCCACACCTGGGGGTCGAGGAGACATGAAGTATGGCACATATGCTGTAGAGAATGAGCATGTGGTAAGCTGATTTTTTTCCCCTTAAGGGCCTGTGGTATAAGAATTAACCATATTGTTGAGTACAATTCATGTTACAGTATACACTAGACTCTTGTTTTGCCCACCTTACCCTCTTTCCTGAATCTAGTTCCTTTTCTCCCCTTACCTCTACTTATTTAAAGCAGATCTTTTCAAAACCCATATGCTTATTTACATTTCTTTGTATCCTTTATCTATAAAACAGTGTTTGGTATATGGTGGTAATATATAAATGTTACCTATTTTTGTTATCTCTGGACTCTATATTCTGACTCATTTATCCAGTTTCTTTCTTACATGTACTCCCAAAATAGTTAGATTTGTAATTTATCAGAGTATTGTTACAGAATTAACCCAAGCTTTCCTTTACATTTATATCAAGATGGCCCAAAAGCCAAGATACAGTAGAGAAGGCAGAATGCTCTGTTGTAAAGTGACTCAGACTGCTTCTCTAGTCTCCAGTATTCTGATTTATAAAGTTAGACTGGCTAGATCGAAAATCTATATTCTGAAACTATCTAGAGAAGCTAGTTAAAGGAATAAAACTTCATAAAGATTAAATTTAATGTGTTGCATTTGGGGGGTTATATTCCATAGTACGAAATAGAAATGGCCTAGCAAGTAGTGTGGGAGAGAAATGGAAGTACAGATGATGTATGTAGAAAGGCTGATGATACAGTTTCATGATGCATCATATAGTTTGAAAGACATTCAGATGATACTGGCCTGACATTGGTGAAGTCAAAAGTAGAGTATTTGAGAATCATGTAAAATTTTCAGAATTCACTTGTGAAGGAAGACTGGGAAAAGGGAGGCAGATGGAGCTTGTTAAAGTGAAATGAGAAGTGTAAAATGACTTTGGTCATTTATTACCAAAAAAATCCAAAAACAAAGAAGGGGAGATAAATCCGAAGAATAATTTTGCTTTACAATTATTAGTTTTAGAACTAATAATTTAATACACATAACCACCTTTAGTAAAATTGTCTCTAATCAGGTGTTGATTTATGTGATCTTTCTTTTTCTGTTCTTTCTTAACCTAATTAGGTGACAATCCCCATCTTTTTAAAAAAAAAGCCTCATTCCTGC